TTCATACACGATAGATGGATTGTGAAGGGTGGGCGTGACTTTGGAGTTTGTGAGTACAATCTATAGTATCTGCAGTACATTTTCTGATTTTGACCAAGATCTGCAATTGTGCATCACATGGTGCACTTTGTGAAAAAGAAGATGGATAGATGCACACATTTAATGGCGGAGAAAATACTGTACGTTCGAGTCGGCTATATATAGGATATGACGTGCGGAATAGATCGATGTCCCTTTCTTTTATTATTATTATTGTTTATTATTATTATTATTATAAAACAGAAAGGTAACTTAATAATATATATCAATTCAATCTTCCTCCCATTTTTCTCAGGTGTCAATAATAACCAATGCACGGTTAAAAAAAAAATAAACGCTCTCAGATGGGGTGGAAATGAACATTCCCCATAATATGGAAGCTTCCCGTTATATCTTTCCGGAGTACTATCCGCACGATGTCAATGATAGCACATCCTCAACGTGTGCTAATTCTTTTTCATTTTAGGACATGTGTTGACAGGAATCCGAGCTATGCGACTGTTGGTATCACACGAAGTTTAGAAGGTAAAAAGACGTCTACATTGTCATATAACATGTTTGAATGTTTTCGTATTGTTTTCTTCTTTTTTTCACCAATGAATGCTATTGTCAGATCATTTATGGTAACACATCGATGAATCACCCATATAATCTTTGCACTCTCCCATTGTCTTTGAATTTATCTTGACCGATGACGGATTAGCGTGCAGCGTAAACTCGGAAAAGCCGGATCAATAGACATGGGATCAGTTATTACTTAATGGGTGAGATGAATTTTTGATGAGCTTTATTTCTTACGTATGCGCTCGACCCCATACGTCTGGTTACGTAGTACATGATTACTTATCGACATAATCAACAGGATTGATGTATAAATCCTGAAGGTGAGATTTGACAAAGAAACATGTGTGAATATGCACATTGGAGAGCATGAATGGACTTCTAGATTTCGGCAAATTTCATTA